GGCCTAGTCATATATGATTTTGTAGAGAATTTCGAGCGCTATCTTTTGATAATAAAAAGAGCTTTAATTACAGGGACAATAGAGGAGAAATCTTAAAAATACTGAGAGGCCCATTTTCCCTGGGACACCCGTTAGAATTGTGGATCGATTAGAGCGCAGACAAAAACAGAACCGATTTCCGTTTGTTTATCTTTGCAATAGGTGAGCTAGCCTTCTTGTTTCTTTATGTTTTATATACCATTTTGTAGCTCGTGAAATTCTCTATTGAATGGTGTATAATAGTTGGGGTTTTCTTTGACTATGATAGGGAAAGTGTTTGACGAAAGTGGGGATGGGTCGATTTTCCTATAGGAAGCCATAGGGAAAAAATGAGTATTTTTGGCAATAACTCAGGAACGGCTCGGCCAATTCTTCTCATCTTCGAACTGGACCGAGATATTGTTAAGACTAAACTGTGTAGAAAATTTCATCCTGATCGGACTCTCCTTTCAAAAGTTATCGTGTAAACGGACGGACACACTGACCGGTTCTAGAGTGTACTCACTTTTTGAGTACACAATAAAAACGAATTTGATGAGAAGAAAAATTAAAAATTATTTTATCAAAAATATTTCGTTAACAAGTACTGATCGTATCGAAGTACATTCATTTTCAGAATAAATAGCCCGTAAATCAGCCACAACACCTTGGAGAAATATTAAAGTTTAAGTTTCGGTAAGATTGAGTTTGTTATCGAATTTTTTCATAAATGTTCAAATGAGAAATTAAATCTGAAAACTTTATGATAGATGTTCAACACGATAGTGTTCTAGAAAAAAAAGAAAAGAATCATACAGTACCTTTTTAGCCTAAATTAATTTAAAAGAAATATTTTTGATATCGAAAGCGCACAGCTCAAAAAATTAGTTTAGGAAAAAAGAACAGAAACAAAAAATCCTTGTAATGGAGAAAAACACTTTACTTGATGACTTCACATAATTTAAGAAAATTTGATAAAATTCACTTGTACAAATCATCACAAATGAGAAAGAAAAGAAATGAAAATTGTACACAATAGTGACAGTTAAATAAAGAATAAGACGCTTCAGCGTCTATACATTCAATTGTCTAACACATAAGACGTTTTAGTATTTATTACACCCAAGTGTCTAAAACAGAGACGTTTCTAGTGTCTAACTAATGTCTAAAATAGACTTTAGACGGATGCACCGTCTTGTAAGACGGATGGCATTTTTTTAGAGTGATACTGCTTACAACAACGCCATTACATACTTTATTATTATGACACAGCCTCCTCTGTATTGATTGATATGAAACTAGTTTTACAGCTGTAGTGTAGGGACATCTTCCGCGTGAAACTCAGTTTGATCGAAAATAAAATATACAAATTAAAAGAGAACTTAATATAAAGTATTTCTATAATAATTTTTTCTTCTGATGTGAAGATGTGAACTAGATGTCTCCACTGGTAGTGTATCATGTTGTCAATCGGTGATTCTAGTTACATTGTTTTCGCCAGACACCGTACTAATAAAAAAACATCATATTTTTGAGTTATTCGATTATTTTAATGAAAGAATTTGATGGCAACAGGAACACCAACAACTAATTCTCATAGTGGAAAACATCGATTAGATCCTGAAATAGAAAAATATCGTTTAGAACTTAATTGGACTAAAATTCTTGATAAATTAAAAAGTGCAAAAGTTTCAGGTTTTATTTCTTAGTTTGGTTTTTTTTTAATAAAAATCTAAAATATAATTTTTTTTTCTTTTTTTGTTTGAACAGAATATGTTAAATTTTTGGAAGGAGAAGCTCAATTAGAATATTATTTACAACAATATTGATTAACTGATTATCGTCATATAGAAGTATCTCGAAATGATTTGATTCGTGTTGAAAATCGTCGTAAATCAGGTGGATCAATTCGTTCATTTGAAGGTCAATGTTTATTAGCTAAATTATATTATGCTCAATCACGTTATGATGAATGTTTAACATATGTTAATTTAGCAATTATTTCAATACCAAATGATATTAATCAACAACCAAATAGATCTTTATTACTTGCAGATATTTATGCACTTAATTGACTTTTATTAGAAAAAAAAATGAAAATTTATTTGAAATAATTAAATCATTTCATGATTCTTGTAAATTAAGTCAAACATATTATGCTGTTGTTGAAAAATCTAAACATGTAAGTAATGAGAATTTAGATATTGAAAATTCTTTAATTGAATTAGCTTATCAACGTTTACCACTTTTACATGCTTCAAATAAGTTAATTCTTTTTTTTGTTTAGTAATATAGAAACAGCTATTGAAATATTTCGTTCATATATTCAAAATGTTCATATTAAATCATTAGAAACAATGAGACAAGTTTGTTTTAAAGAAATTAAATAAAATCTATAAGACTCTTTTTGTTTTTGTTAATATAGACATTAATTAAACAATATGCCGAATTATTATTATAATGTGTTTGTAAAGGAAATTATATTCAAATAATAAGTTCAGATGATAAAACTAATAAAACTAATCGTCGATCATCTCAGTAAGAAT